AAAAAAAATGACAACTCATTATTACGTAAATTGATGTACAAAAATTAGAATTTGAATTAGTGTCTCCAACATTACTCATATGAGAATATATATATATATATATATATAGTCCTTTTTATTTTCCCTCTTTTATTTACCGATATCTCCTTAGGACTTATGAGAGAAATAATCCGCCCTAAAATATTTTTAATAATGTGATGTGGTCTCCCTTTTCTTCTAATTGTACTTTGAGAAAGAGAGGAGAAAAAGTGAAGTAAAGCTTATTAATGTTGTAATATATATTATTAATGTGGGTCTTTATTGAATCAATGAAATAATTTTCTATAGATAAATAATTTTAGTATGATGTAAAAAAAAAAAAAAAACTTTATGAAATTGAGGTCATTCATATCGTTGCAAAATTGTCAGCTTTCGGAGATTAAACCTAATGATCATAGCAAAGTCAAGTTAATATTAATTGATTATTTAATAAGCAGTTTTGAGAGGGGAGGTAATATTTGTGTTTTCGGGATAAACAAGAGATACGAGAAATTAATTTGTCTTTTCCATAAAAAAAAATAATCATTTCTTAAAAGGTTTGTCAATTTCTAATATTTGGGTTATAATGTCATTAGAGTAAATAAATATTAATTGATTATGGTTGTTTCTCATTAGACTCATGTACTATATTTTTCTTATAATGCGGGCGCCGTAGTGTCATTCTTAACAAACCTTGATTTGTTTTCATTTGTTTCACAGTGGTAGGCCACCAGTCTTACATAAAAAAGATGATTACATAAGAAAAAAGATTACCATTCAAAAAAAAAAAAAAAAAAAGATCAGTTAAAAGGGTCCCAGCAGGAAAAAAATAATGAAATCAATATATAAAATACGATGGAAAACATGCTTATATATAGTCTCACATGAGTAGGTAATTCTTTGTCATGTGATTAGCTTTCTTTATGATTCCTACTAAATTTATTCTACTTTTCTTGGACTTTTTCGCACCTTCTCTACTAGCTACCTTTCCGACCCGTGAGCAGTTTGATCAACCCTTTTTTTTTTTTTGGCGACGTAACCATGTGAATCAAACATATCTTCATCCACCCTTAAAATCAATACATATAATTGGCAATTCGTGTCACATGTCGTATTCATATCGTGTTTTGATCGTTTCTTTCTAAATTTATAGTCGACCCGAATACGACCCGTGATATGAAATTTTTTAAAAATCGCAATACGAACACGACACGACACGAAAATGACCCGTGACACGAAATTGACCCGTGAACCCGAAATTGACACGAAAATTGTATACTTTTATTTAGTTTTTTACATATTAAAAATAACTTAAAATTCATAACACACTAAAATACAATAACATCCATTGAAATTAAGCAAATAATAGTATAAGATTTTGAGTATAACTATCATGATATCACAAATTCATAATAAAATCAAAAATATGTAATGAAAAATATATGTATTTTTTAGTTTTCTACGAGTTTCGTGTCGTATTCGGGTTAGGTGGGTCTAACTTGAAATTGACCAGTGTTTTTCATGTCAATTTCAGGTTGATCCAATTCTGACCTGAATCTTTTTTTCTCAACCTTAACTCACGAAATTTGTGTTATTTTCGAATCGTGGCCCATATTATTAGCCCTACATATATGTGTATCTTCGTTCAGTGCACATTATAACAAAAACTAATTATAATAAATAAAATTTAATTAAATAAAAAGAAATTGTCGCTCACCGATTGCAATTATGATAAACAAGTCAAAAGGGAGGCTACTAGTTCATTAGTTAAATGATTTCACCTATTGAGTTTGTCTTTCCCTTAAAAAAAAAAGATTTGTTTTTTTTAGTAAAGAATTTTATGGTAGGGACGTAAAAAAAGAATACTGATCGGGTTATGTTTTAATCAGTTAAATTTGTATAAGGTTCTATAATTGTATACTTTTTCATTTTATTTGATTTATGTCAGTTAATGTTAAAAACATACACGATAGGGAATATGTTTTTAACACGATAGGGAATATAATGAAATTAAAGCACTTTTTCTAGTTTTGTTATAATAAGCAAAGCTAAGAGCATTTCTAATCGAATTACAATTCTTATGCCAATATTGAAATTTAGCAGTTAAATAAAAAAAGTTATCCACTGGTATATTTATTGTTAAATTTGGCACATGTTATAATTGGTGCTAAATTATGTTGAACTTTTAACTAATAATTTATATATTATTTTTTCATTTTAAAATTTAAAAACTCTTCTTTTTATAAATTTAAGACCATATTTTTTTCTTAAAAATCTAAATATTAGCGTTACACATTAGAGATAATATATTAGTATTTATTTATGTATTTTTTATGCTAAATATAACTTTGATTTTACCATTTATATTTGAGATGGTCAAAGTATATATATCTCTCTAAAACAAACAAGAAAACGTAGAGGAGTAAACTAAGAAAATGCCCCAAAAAAACTAAGAAAAGTAGAGTTAAGAACGAGGGAAAAGAAGGAAATACGCGGAGAAATTAAAGAATGACATAAACAATTGAAATACCAACTTTAGAAGATAATGAAGGAGAAGTTTCCGATTGAACTAAAAATCAAAGAAAGGAAAAAAGATCACGTCATGTGAAAGAATATTTAAGCAAGTCAGGCATTCCACAGTCAACCCTCTTGAAAATAGGAGCACTCAAATTAGTCCCTTTCTTCTTCTCAACCTCATTTCATATAAATCCCCCCCCAAAAAAAAAAAAACAAAACAAAACAAAACTAGCTAAAATTAGTCATAACGTACACACTACACACAAAGAAATTAAAGCCTAATAAACCAAATTAACTAAACACATATCACACAACAAACCACATATAATAGTACCACAAGCCAACAAGTTCACACACCCCTTGTCATATTCCACAATATAAATCCAGTTCCCCATCCCTGATTCCACCAAAAAAAAAAAAAAAAGAAAAAAACCACCGCGGCCACCACTGCCGCTGCCGGCAAAATGTCCTCCATGGTCGAAAAGCCGGTGAGCTTAAAACAAGACGACGATGGCGATGGACCATCCTTTTATTTCCCCCACAAGAATAATGACAGCTACGACTTGAACAGCAAGATCATGGTCGTCGCCATAGTCTCCCTCTCCGTCGTCATCCTCCTCGTCCTCGCCCTCCACATCTACGCCCGTCGCGTCCTCCGCCACCAGGCCCGCCGCCGCCGAGCCGCCATCCACAGTCTCGGCCTAACCGTGGCCCACGCCCGCTCCGCCGATACTCATCAGCCCCCCAAGACCGGCCTCGACCCCTCGCTCATCGCATCCTTGCCCGTCTTCGCCTTCCGTCCCAACGCAACGTCGTCGCCGTCGGTTGAGTGCGCCGTCTGTCTAAACGCCTTGGACGTCGGAGACATGGCGAGGCTACTGCCAAACTGTAAGCACACGTTCCACGTCGAGTGTATCGACAAGTGGCTGAGCACTCAGTCGACCTGCCCGATTTGCCGGAGCGAGGTAGAGCCACGGCGGCTCGATCCCGAGCCCCGCGAGGGCCCGGCGGAGAGTTCTACTACCCCACCGTCGGCTCCGCCGTTGGAGCGGTTGAATTCTATGTCGTCGGGCATGGAAGGTACGTCGTCGGATATAAATTCTGGTAAAGTGGTGAGAAATAATTCGAGCAGGTTGAGTTCTTTTCGGAGAATGCTTAGTGGGGACAGATCGTCGAGGAGAATTCTGCCTTGTGGTCAACAAGATGATCAGGATGTTATCGAAGATTTAGAAAGACGGTGATTAGTTAATATTAATCCAGCTATAATCAAAGGTGAATTTATATTAATTACAAGTTTTAATTTCTTTATTTTATTTTATTTTGTTACGAGTTATAAGGGCCAGAGCATGTCACAGGATATTATACATACATGCTTAGAAATTTTGCTTACATTCCTATATCGCCGACAAACAATAAATTGATCACAAAATTATTTGGCTTGTAGAGTTCAGGAAATTAATGTGTTTATGTATACCGGATTTTGTATTTCGTTGTCTGGACTGTAATTATGTCATGATTTATTTTGTTGAAGGAAGACTTTTTTTTTTTTTTGAATTCGATGTCCTTTTGGCTACTAGTAGTCTACTAATAACAATATAAAATATGAGAATACATATACATGGATATTATATAGCCCATGTGGACCAACTAATTGCCGACTAACTTTGTTAAGATTACCAATAAATTTTAGAATTTCTCCCTGAATTTAGGACTTATTGGGATGCGCCCTAATCTGTAAAATGTGTTGAATTTTCTCCTTCCATCCAAATGGTTAAAGATTTGAACGGAATTACCCTTTTTTTTCTGTTAAGAAAAATCTGCCCCAAATTTATATTATACCCCCTTAAACTTATAAAATGTTGCACTCTCACCTCTTGATTTAAATAAAAGTGTCTGTTTTGTCTATATTTTGGACAGTGGTTAAAGTTGAGGTTTTCTGCTACAACAAATATCTCGTCCTTTCGTTAAATACTTTGGCACAATTTTGAGAAGTTTATCCATCAAAATCTTCATCAACTTGGGCATTCAGCCCTCTTGAAGTCTTGTTAAGACTACCGTAGGCAGTTGATTTAAAGATTTTGGTGTAAAAAAAAAAATAATTGCAAAAGAGCTTGACACTTGTCCACTTTCATTAATTATGATTTAGATGGAAAGGAGAAAAGAGGGTAACGCAACATCATTTGAAGTTTAGGAATTTTTTTAGAACTTTTTCCGTCTAAATTTAATGGAGTTTTTTATGGTCTTAGAAATTTTTACAAGTTTAGGGACTGAAATGTCATGTTTTAAAATCCAAAGAGAATATCGCAACAAAGATCTTAAGTATGTGAAAAACTTTAAAACTAATCATTTGCTAGGATTTAAAAATAATTATTGTCCTATATAAATTTTTGGACCACATAAAGTATCTAAATTAATGATATTAAATGTAATTTAATGTCTAAGACCTAACAATTTCGACTTGCTTTACGCCCACAAGGATCAACCACCGTTGTATTTTCTTACCATATGACTTTTAGACTAAACTAACTCTCAATCGAAGACTCTTTTCTCTCGAATTTTCTAGTTGCGCCACAAAGGTCAATTTGTAACTATCAGATATTATGGTTGTTGAACAGATGGCAAAGTCAATGACTTTAACCAATTTCACACTAATATCGTTTCCCCTGATCAAGTACGTAACGGCATGGGCCTCAGTTGGAACTGTGTACGAGTCTTGACATGTTTGCGGGCGCAATTTGGACTTTGAAAGTAAAAAATAAGAGGATGTTTTGTAAAAAGGTTCAATTCATGATTTGAATTATAGTTTATGATTCGTTACAGTATTTTCTCTCATAAAAAATATATAATTTTAAAAATAATTTTAATCACATGATTTTAAGATATCCATTTTCATCTCAGATAGTGTTTTACGCTTATCTTTTTCATTTTTTCTTAGGCACAAGAAAGTGTGGGGAAGACTGAAGAGACCGGCCCTGGTGATCAAAATCAAGATCTGACAGAAATGGGGTATGAATTTGTGAATTAAATAGAGATAAAAAAATAAAGGGTATGCTCTCTGGTCTCTAGATAAACCTATATACAAGGTAAAAAAGGGGTAAATTACCCACTTTAAAAGTATTTTACCTTCTGCCAAACCATTTGAGAGTAAGCCCAAGGCTACCACGTCACTTGATTCTTTTTCCAATATCCTAAGCTATGGTTTGGTATTTACCTTCTACCAAACTATTTTAAGGATTTTTTTTTTGTTTCATACGTTCAAATCTATAATTTTGATTCTATTACAGTGTTTTCTTCTCACAAAAAATTTAAATTTTAAAAGTCAGAATCAATAATCACTTGTTTGAACTCATGAACTAAACTATCCTAAAATAATCTAACTTTGTTGGTTTGCATAAATACACTTTGAACTTTTTAATTAATTTAGTTGGGTTAAAACGCTAATTTAAACAAAATTTACTTGTACTCTTTATTTAGTTAGCCTTTTAGGGAAAAGGAAAAGAGCATTACAGTTTTAAATAAGAACATCTCTAATGTAAATGTTAATGTTAATTGTATATTTAACATAAAAAACTATAATGCATAATGCTATTTGAAATCTATCTATTTTTTTTAATGTATATTTAAGTTTTGAAAGTTGTAAAAGTAACCTTTATTTTTATCATATACATTAATTACATAACAAATGTCAAACTAGAAAATGTAAAAATTACATTAATTACATAAAAAAAGTAAACATTTCAACCAATAGTAATCAAATGTCAAATTTCTCATATACTATATTTTGTGAAAAATTTATCACAAAGTATAATATATGAGATATTGAGCATAACAAATAACATTATATTGAAGAATATTTTTTACAGTCAAATGTTAAATATACAATTAACACATTAATTATATATCATTTCGGTAGTCTTTTTTCTTTTTTCTTTTTGGGGGGAAGGACACAAAGGAAATGGAACATTACTCTTTTTTCTTTTTTTTTGGGGGTCTTGGCTTGAAACAAAACCCCCCAAAAAAAAAAAAACAAACAAACAAAACAAAAACAAAAACAAAAACAAAAAGAAGAATGGAACATTGTAGGCGTTTCTTTGGCTGATGAAAACAGGCAAATGGTCCACAGCATTGGGATTCTAAATCCTAATAGCCTAATTCAACCTTTTCCAAGATTCGTTAGATTGGAACTGTAAAATAATAATGTGAAGATATCATTTCGGTGGAGTTAAAAAAATGAGTAATGTTAAACAGAAGAATCAAAGGTGATGTTGCAGTAGTTACACTCATCGGTAGATCTGATATACCAAACTCAGCTATAAACAGAAGGAAAAGAACAATCATAATCACCATTAACAATTAATATATTGCCATGAATATTTAATCTGCTTGATCTTTGACAACTAAAATACAAAATGCTCAAACAGATAATAACCCCTGGAATTGAAACTAACCTAGTCAAAATACATGATTGATAATCATAATTGATAATTCCTCTCAAAAAGATTGGCCTATAATAACTAAACTCTAGTTATGTTTTACGTGAACAAGGTAGAGAGAAAAAAAAAAGCCTTTGCTTTCTTCTTTTCCTTGCTAATGGAGATAATAATAGAAGTACTATTTCAAGCTATAAGTAACTGGTGAAAAAGAAGAAAAGAGTGGTACTGAAAATAGGCCAAAACCATTGGAAAGCAATTGAACTGCAACCGTTCATGTCCTCGCTGGGCCCCAATCCGACCGCTGTCGACGGACTCGCCAGACTTGATCCGTTGCTCACTGCCAAGCTGTGTGATATCATTACAACTTCCACAATCAGAATCATTCCTTGCTATATCACACCTCAACCAAATAATAATAATATATAGTTTCAATGTTCTGTATCTCTTGTACCCAAAACAATTTCTCAAAAAAATAAATAAATAAATAAATAAACAAATGCAATTTAGAAACAGCCCTCAATTACCTGGATGGGAATTTGCACTTGTCATGACCTGAATCAAAATCATTGTAAAAAAATTAGATTAAACTTATATAAGAATGACAGTAAAGTTCAAGTATGAATTTCAGATCCCCAATTAAAAAAGTAGAGATCTAAACACCAAAATTACAGAGAGAGAGAGAGAGAGAGAGAGAGAGATCCAATTTCAAGATTTATAATTAAGAAGTAATCTTTCATTTCTCACTTACTGGGATTTAAGGAAGTGAGAGCGGCGGTGTTGTCGAAGTTGCAAGCGTCGTCGGTCATGCCGTTTTTGAGGTAATAGTTGTTGAAGGCGTAGGAGGCCGTGGTCTGCACATCGGAGGCGTCGTAGCATGGGCCGCCTTGTTGGATTGGGCCGCAGTCGGCGCCTCCAGGCCCGCAGGCCCAGTCCAGCGCCGTCTGGAGGGCGGTGTCCTCGGCGTTGTTCTTGGCCACGCACCAGAGCTCCATTGTAACGACGCCGTTTTGAGCCTTCGATTGGCAGTGGAGCGACGCGCCGGAGAGCGGGAGCGAGTGGAGTGATGTTAGTAAGAGAAGGAGGAGGAGAGGGAAATCGAAGATTTTCCCCATTATTTGCAGAGGAGAGAGAGAGAGAGAGAAGGGTAGAATTGGGAGTGAAATTGTTGGGGGGGTTTTCAGAGAGAAGGGAAGAAGAAGCCGTTATGGAGTATTTTAATGGAGAGAAATGTGACCGTTACAGTTTTCAGGGGAGTTGAAGAGATCGAGAGAGAGAGAAGTGTTGGGAACCGCCTGCTCTCCGGTGTCTTTTCATTTTCTTTCCCTCCTTTTTTGGTTTTTTTTTTTTTAAATACAGTTAACTGGCTTTTTTTTTTTTGTTATTAATAATGTTTTTTTTTTTTTGCTAAAAATTGGTTATTAATAATGTTAGCCCCTAAATGTTATTAATAATGTTTTTTTTTTTTTTTGCTAAAAATTGGTTATTAATAATGTTAGCCCCTAAATTATGTGAATTATGTCACCTTAGTTTTGAATTTTTATTTTGATAAATTATTTCTTAAACTTTTGATTTGTAACTATTCTTTTTTGTAAAAATTTTAGTTATTATTATTTCTAACAAACTTCATAAGTCATTTGTCAATGTGCAAAGGCTAAAGTAGTTAAAAATAAAAAAATAGAAAATAGCTCACTAAAATAAAAAATTCATGGATTTAGTATTATTTCTAACAAATTTCATAAGTTATTTGTCAATTTTAGTGTGCAAAGACAAAGTAGTTAAAAATTTAAAATAATAGAAAATAGCTCACTAAAATTAAAAATTCATGGATCAAAATCCGATGCACATAATATAAGAACTAATAAATCTAATTATCTTTTTTCTCCCTTAAAAATAAAATTTCCGAACTGCCTTTCTTTTCTTTTTTTCTTTTTCATTTTTTTAGACAAATCCTTTTGTTTTGTTATTTTTTGGGATAGGCATCGGTTTTTGCCTGCGTCTTTACCTCTCTGATTCTTTTGATGCCAACCTTTCATGTCCTTTTAACTGAGACCGGCAATATGAATTACGAGACGACAATACGATTCGAAAACGACATAAATTTTACGGATTAAGATTGAGAAAAAAGATATTTTGGTCAGAATTGATTCGATCAGAAATTGATACAAAAAACATGAGTCAATTCAGATGAACCCGCCTAATCTGAACACGACGTGAAATTCATAAAAAATTTAAAAATATATATATTTTTCATTACATATTTTAGATATTATTATGAATTTGTGATATCATGATATTTATACTCAAAATCTTATACTATTATTTGCTAATTTTCATAAATGTTATTGTATTTTAGTGTGTTATGAATTTTAAATTATTTCTAATATGTAAAAAATTAAAGAAAAGAATATAATTTTTGTGTCACTTTCAGGCTCATGGGTCAATTTCGTGTTACGGATAATTTTCGTGTCATATCGTGTTCGTGTTACGATTTTTAAAAAATTACGTGTCACGCGTCGTATTTGGGTTGACTATAAATTTAGAAAAAATGATTAAAACACGACATGAAAAAGACACGTAATACGAATTGTCACCCATACTTTAAACTATCTAATGTCCACTTTTTTATTTTTCTTTTCCTTTTAGTATGGGATTTTTATTTTTTTAAATGACGGAATTCCAATTGAACTGACTTTGAAACTGGCACTTTCTTTTTTTTTTCTTGATAATAAAAAGTTTCAGTAAAAAGTTTGAAAGCTTTTACTAATAGCTATATATAGGGCTCATTTAAGGCCTCGTTCGTTTCGCTGATTCGAGTTTAGAATTCGAGTTTTACTACAGTAAAAAGCTCTCATAAATAGTCACATCTAACTTTTTTGCTACAGTAAAAAGCTCTCATATAAAATCACATCTCAACTCGAATTTTAAACTCGAATCAGCGAAACGAACGAGGCCTAAATATGTTTGGATGACCCACCTTAAAGTGTTTTTAGTTTTTTTAAGTACTTTTAGAACAAGTTATATCGTTGATATTTATGAGAAAAGTGCTTATAAAAATATTTTTCATTTACATTTTTAACTTTTTATCTGTAAATAACAAATTAAATATATTATATATATCTTTTGATTACATTACTTTTTATAGCAAGAAGTGTTTTTGATATTTTTACCCACATAAATTTAAAAGCTCTTCTTAGATATAAAATCACTTTTTCAAGTACTATCCAAACACTAATTAAAAAGCTCCAACTTATGCTTATTTTCTTCTACTACTTAAAAGCACAAGCACAAACTATCCCAAACAGACTCATAAACTGTTATATTATATAACATTAACTGTTAACCGGGAGTTTCTCCGATAGTCCGTCTTACCGATAGTTCTAATTTTTAACCGTTAGATATGATCAAAATCACATCAAATAAAAAAGTATGCAGAACAAACAGATTTTGATACAAATCTGGCGGCTGAAAAATAGAAAAAAACTACCGGTAGTCTGTATTTATAAGAATTACCAGGGAAAGTCTCTAACTGTTAGGTATTCAAACTTTGGGATGAATAATGTGAATGATAATATGGTATGCAGTTGCGTGAGCTTAGTTTTACTTTTGTTTCTCCGGTAGTCCGTCTTACCGATAGTTCTAATTTTTAACCGTTAGATATGATCAAAATCACATCAAATAAAAAGTATGCAGAACAAACAGATTTTGATACAAATCTGGCGGCTGAAAAATAGAAAAAAACTACCGGTAGTCTGTATTTATAAGAATTACCAGGGAAAGTCTCTAACTGTTAGGTATTCAAACTTTGGGATGAATAATGTGAATGATAATATGATATGCAGTTGCGTGAGCTTAGTTTTACTTTTATGGCATGTCTACTTATCCGTAATCGGAGCGGACAGGATTCAAAGTGGATAGAAATCGAGTCAGGAATCGAAGTCAGAATAAGCTGTTTACTTAGGTTCCAGGAATCAGAGTCGGAATTAGTCCCAATCTCATTCATGCGTTTACTTACGTCTAGAATCAGAATAAATTGTTATAAATTTACTTACCTGCCCTTTTAGGAGATTTTTGTGTGTTGAACTTTAAAAAAAAAAAGAAATTGTATATCATACTAGCTATCTTAATATTATGATAACTAATTAATAATTATATTTTTTTAATCACACCTAATTAATCATCTAAATTAGGATAACTAATTAGTAATTAGATTTTTTTAATCGCTATCTTCTTTCGTGCTAAAAGTTGAGACATGGTTACTCTACATTTTCAACATATAAAATTAGATTTAGCATTGCATTACATATTATAGAAAAACAGAAATCAACTTAGGATATAAATTGAAAAATGAAAAGCAATAAGCATAACACAAGAATCAAATTATAAGCATGAAAAAAAAAATCTGAGTTTCATTTCATTATTTAGATTGATATGAAATCGTCCATGGCACTAGTAAGAAAGAAAGAAAAGAAAAAAAAAATATCAGAGGAAGTGAGTAAGGAGATATGAGAGGCATGAAAGTAAATTAGGGTATTTTTCAATTTGTTACTTTTTACTTTTCTATTCACAAATTTGTTAGTAGAATTAAGAGTAAAATCATAATTAACATTTCCTAGTAGGATTGAGAATGCCAATCCGGTAGGAGGTGAGGGAGTGTCAATCAGATTCCTCAATTCTAAATTGGTGTAGACTCACACATTTCCACTCCTATTGCAAGATAAAAATGGGTAACTAAATATGGAGTTAATTCTGATTCCCAATTCTCATTCTCCACTCCTGGTAAGTAAACATGCTATTAATTTACTAATCGTTGTTGTATTAGCACGACAAGTGTGCTATATAAGGGATAATGCTATGTATGTTTTGATTAAGTTATACTTAATTTTATTATAAATTAACGTGTCATTTTATTTAAAATGTGTGCCAATATTCTATTTTCCTTCGAGTGAGAAAAAAGAAGGGTACGTTTGGAATTCGTTTTAAAATGATTTTGTTTTCTGTATGAAAATGAAAACGAAAACGTTTTCATTTTCATTTTGGAATCATTTCTGAAAATGCGTTTGGTAGTTTTATTCTGAGATTATTTTTAGTTTTTTAAAAAATAAAATTGTGTTTGGTGGTTTAACTTTTAAAAACATGTAATAATATTTAAAATAACAATCCTTAATCATTTTCAGTTTTGGTGACTTTTTAGAAATAAGTAAAAAAAAACGTTTTTAATTTTTATTTTTTAAAAAATGTGTACCAAACACCTTTGTGAGTGCATTTTTATTTTTTAGTTCTTGAAAAATGTGAAAAACGTATTTGGAAATGATTCCAAACAAGCATGAAAGTTTTTATTGTTTTTTGAAATGAAATGAAGAAGGTAATGATTATAAAGGTCTCGTTCACTTTACTAATTTGAGTTTTCAATTTTAGGTTTTTACAGTAAAAAGTTCTCAGAAAATGTCACGTCTAACTTTTTCTGTTACAGTGAAAAACTTTCAGTAAATGTCACATTTCAATTCGAATTGAAAATTTGAATCCGTAAAGTGAACGAGACAAAAATATTTATTGTTATCATTTTAATTTTCTTCCGTGGGTACTTCGCGGAGAAAAATTTAACAATAACAATGACAAAAGGACCATCAAATATCAATCAGGGCCTCAGGCCTCTTTATTAATTCCGATTTTCCTCATTTTGTGTACTTATTTTCCGTCTTGCCAACTTTTATTTGTTGCAGAAGGGTGTAAGTATTTATTGCAGAAGTTACTCAAAGTCGCTGAGGAAAAAAAGAAAAAAAGAAAAGAGAAGTTACTCAACTTTGTATTTTTACAACTTGTAAAACCAAAACCAAAATATAATAATAAAAAGTTTTCTATATACCCCCGTCATAAAAGTTTACTATTTTGCGAAAATGTAAACGTGGAAAGTCGGACGGGGTGGTGGGAATTTTATGTACATTTTTGTCTAATATCTTATTCTTTAATCTGTTATTTTTGTTTTTTATGGACTGTCCATCTGTATTCAACTTTAATAATTTCTTACTCCACTATTCAATAGTTGCAGAAGGGACACTCAAAAACCCGCATTGGTGAAAAATATTATCAATTCATGCTGGCTTATTCTATTTTCAGATTCATGTCTTTTTTAGGCCCCATTTTATACACATTTATCAGACCTCAAGGGTCACTTTTGTTCAATTATTGATTCATCTCCTATTCATATTTTTGGTCTGAAACCCATGAAAAAGATCAATCTAGATTGAGCCAGAAAGAGTAAAAAAAAAAAAAAAAAAAAACTATTTTTACTGTGTTACTCCAACCATTAAAAGTTTTTAGTTTGATTAAATAGACTAATCATCAGTATTGACATCTAACATTTTTTTTTAATTGAATTTACCAAAAAACGGTTTTTTTTATTATAAAAAAATAATGACTACGTTAAAGAATAAATAGTATTTCTAGTAAAAGACTAACAATAATTAGAAAGTTTGATTAAAAGGAGTTTTAATAGTAGGATTTGATATTTTTATTTTTTACTTTTCAACTGTTAAATTTAAAAAGTAAAAATTTACTGTTACTCTAATTACCGGTCTAAGTTTTAAGTTTAATTAAAGAAAGTTTTTATAGTAGGATTAGAATATTAAACTACTGATAATTTTTTTTGATAAGTTTCTTTACTAATATATCCATTTTTAATTATTAAATTTAATTAAAATCATATTAAATAAAAAAATATATATAATAGATAATTTTTAATACCTGATATTCTTAGTAGAGCGGCTTATTAAAAAAAATTCCCTAATTAAAACAACTTAACAATAATTATCAACACTGTTGACATCTACTTTTTTCAAATAATGACAAAAAATTCGATGATGAATATCTTATAGTTGTCATTTCCATAAATGGTATAACAGATTTATTTAATTAATTTATTTATTTTACTGAGAGCTTTACTGCTAAAGCTGATATTACCAAGTGCAATTTCTGGGGCACATGCACTGGGTGAGTCTCTGTGAGATGAATAATTGACTTCTGTAGAGCGAGTGACCCACCAAATGGCCAAAGGACAGAGGGAAGGAGCCTTTACTATTCCCCCATCATATTGCAGAATGGTATGGAATTATTAGCGCTCACATATATATATATATATGTTAGGTATTTTTATTAGCTCGTAATTTATTAATCTCGAAAAAAAATTAAAAAGTAGGTTTAAGAAGATTTTATATTATAGAAAAAAATTTAGAATTAGATTTGAAATCAGATTTGAGGTTAAAATTATAAATAAGACATTAATTGAGATTTAGAGAGATAAGTGTAGGCTTAGGTTGAGTTTGGTAGAGATTTTGAGAGGCCAAAATCAATTTCTTGGGTAGCTCAAGTTGTTTTAGGTGTTTAGTAAACATTTAAAAAACTGATTGTTAGAGAATTCAAAAGCTACTTTGGGCTGAAATCAGAACCAGCTCAATTGCTGTTTCTGATTTCAGATTGTGCGGGAATCCACTCTGAGGCATTAATGAAATTTTCATTATCCCGAAAATAGCCCTGCTTAATCAAAAAAATTCTCAGCCCCATCCTTCGCCATCTCTGAAACCGAACTCTCTCTCTTAGCCTTAGCCTCTCAACCTCAGCCCTCTCTCAGCCGCAGCCTTGCTCTCTCAGCTCCCTCCGTTTATCTTTATTCTCTCTCTCGGACCCCCTCTCTCCGTTTCCGGCTAGGATCTCCTGCGATTGTCGACGGCGGCGGAGTCTCTCCGTTTCCCTCTTCTTCTTTTTTTCTTTCTCTGTTTCTGATCCAACAAAAATGGCTCCAGTCTCGGCCCTCGCAAAGTACAAGCTCGTCTTCTTGGGTGACCAGTCCGTCGGCAAAACCAGCATCATCACCCGCTTTATGTACGACAAATTCGACAACACTTATAAGGTAATTTTTCAAATTCTTTCATACCCAGATCCCAATCAATTCAGATTTCTTTTTTTTTATGCCTCAGATCGGCTTGGCGCAACTTTTTGTTTTTTGGTTATTGATCCGGTTGATTTGAGCTTTGTGTGTTGCTTCTTCTTTTTTTTTTTGGGTATGTTTCGTTTTGTTTGAATTTTGGCATCTGGATTTTGATTTACGCCTTCTGTTTGGATGGAGAGAAAAAGGTTGTGGGAAATTGTTCTGTTTTTGTGTTAATGTTGGATTATGAACGAGCATTTCTTAAAACTATATAAGGACTTGAGCGGATCAAGCTTCTGAATCCCATCAAAATGTAGTTAGTTTTGTATTGGGTCGATTTTCTTGCCATTTAATCCAATCTACCAAAAAGGTTTGATGGTTTAACTGAATAATCAACTGTTTGGTCAACAAGTTTAGCAAAAACAAATGAATGAGAAAGAAGAGCAAAGTTCAAGCTATGTTGCTCTTAGATGAAGTGCTTGTTTTAATTTGTCAAGATATGGCCAAGCCATGTAGCTTTATAGTGTAGGTAATGATATGTTCTTCAGAATAATGTGCTAGCTTAGAAAAGATGAAGCAAATTATGGACAAAATAATCAAATATGACTTGACAATTTTCTTGACAGTATTAGACTATGAAAGAAAGTTTAAGAATATTGTTTTGACAGATCTGTTGTATTCGTTATGCATTAACTCCATATATGTTGAATTTAACTTGATTACAATTCGAAGCGTTTAGCTATTTAAAGAGTAATTCGACTTTTTTTTTTCCTGACCAGGCTACAATTGGTATCAATTTCCTGTCAAAAACCATGTATCTTGAAGATCGAACTGTTCGACTGCAACTATGGTAAGATAGTCAAGATTCATCGCACTTGGTTATGCATGCTGGTATTTATAGTAATATATTATTTTTCCAGTGTCACTTTGTGAAAAGCACAAAAAAAAAATATATATATATATATTTTTGTTTTTTTTTGTAGAGATAGGGATAATTACTAGCGCTTAATGCATTTTATCTGTCTCTTTTTTTTCCTCTCGGATGTTTGCCAAATGGGTATATGAAGTTTCTTTCTTTTATTTGTTTTAAATATCTTTGATTACTCTTTGCTTTGGTCTATTTAAAATGGAAGGGGAATGTGTGTTCTATGGGTTATGATGTTATGGATTTTTCTCCCCTTTTCAATTCTTTCCCTTGCAAGTTACAACTCTTTTTATTTGATTTTTGGGCAGGAATACAACTGGACAGGAAAGATTTAGAAGTCTCATTCCAAACTACATTAGGGATTCATCAGTTGCATTTGAGATACTTTATAAGGAAGTAAATACTTCCTATTAGGTAGTTTCTGAGAAGACATTTGTATGCTCCAGGTGACACCCTCTAGTTTAGAATAGTGGGCAAGTTGTGATTGCTACAATAGTGCTATTATTGATCACATTTCAACATTCTTGAACATTCTTCTAAACAATCCATTTTGGTCTCAAGTTTAAATATTATAGAAACTTCGAGCAATTAGGACTTACAAGTCATAACAGTACAAGAATAAATTTATCTGTTTGAAGGTATTTATGGTGAAAATTCAAGAAATTCAAGCTTATAATAAATTAATCTGTTAATGGTGTCAACTTCTTCAATGTACTTAGCGTTATTTCTTGGTAATGTTGATAAAATAACTATGTATCTTTGTTCTGTCTTCTGATATTTTCTTCCATTTTTTGGTACCCTTAATATGAGTCATCTTTGGTGCTATTTTGCACACTATCTAGGGTGACACATTTCGTTTTTCCATTCGCTATATGGTTCTAATACGACATACTTTTTGGTTCTAATGAACACGACTTAATTTTTTTAATGATTGTCAGTTTTTGAACATGGAATGTATTTTTTTGTTCAACAAATTGATTACTCACTAATGCTCCTTTTAGTTGTAACTATATTGTGAATGAAGAAATAAAAAAAAAGAATTAATTATCATAAATTTATTGTTAAAAAACTCAAAATCATAATATTATGTTTTTTTTAAGTTAAATAAATATTTCTAAATACCAAAAATAATTACATATATTTAAGTTTCATACCATGTCTATTTTGGTCATTTTACATATCCACAGCAATTCAACATCAAAATTTACCAAACGCTATTACACTGATTTTAGAACCAGCACAGCTACTATAATTATAGTTTACCAAACACTCAGTTGCTTCTTATAACAGCTGCTTTTTCCTTCAACACAACTAAAAGTAATTTTTTAAAAATCCACAGCACTACCAAACTAAGCCTTAGTTTGGTAGAGATTTTAGAAGGCCAAAATCAATTTGCTACTCAGCCAAAATTGTTTATTGTGTTTGGTAAACACTCCAAAAAGTGCTTCTTACATAATTTAGAAGGAATTTAGGGGAAAAATCAAAAGCAGCTCAAAGGCTGCTTCTGATTGTAGATTGTGCGGCAATCTACATTGAGTTCATTAATGAAATTTTCTTTATTCCCAAAATAACCTTGCTGAATCAAAAAATTCCCTCAGCCTCATTTCTTTCTGCTCCTTCGCCACCTCTCCTCTCTTGAACTGAAGCCTCCTCTCGTGCTCTCTCTCTCAGCCAAAGCTCTCTCCCTCCGTTTCTCTTTCTTCTCTCTCTCTATTCTCTCAGACTCCCTCTCCCCGTTTCCGGCTTAGTTTCTCCTGCGATTGTCGGCCAGGCGGAGTCTCTCATCTCTCTCGGTTCTCTCGGTGTTGGTGGGTTTATTCTTGTTAGGGTTTCCAGATTTCGTTATTGGCTAAGACCGATATCGGTTGGAGTTCATCAGATTAATAGCCTCTGTAAGTACTCCATTAAGCTTTTTTTTGAATGTTGATTTGGTTGTGTTCTCTGGCTTGGTGGATTTTTTGTTAAATTTTTTTTCTCTGCTATGTAAACCCTTTGTTTGGACTGTATTCTGACTCTATTTTATGGGTATTCACATATTTGGATTATAGTTCATGGATATGGTTATTTAAGCATTTGATTTTTTCGTGCAATATTGTTTCAAAAACTGTGAAGGAAAACTTTTTTTTTCTCTGCTATGTATTCGGTTGTAAATGGGGATGAATTTGGTAGGAAATGGTTGGAATTAAAGAAAGAATGAATTCCATTTTGAATTGGGGAATGTTCTATTGCGTATGTTTGGAAAAAAAAGTGAGTTATGTATGTGTTTGTATGTATATATGTGTGCGTGTGTGTATATATGTTTGGAAGAAGTAATTTTTAGGAATGAGGATGTTTTTGTTCTTTAAACGATGTTCCTAAGTAATTTTTAGGAATGTGTATGTATAGAAAACCTTGTGAGCAGAGTCTATGTTTTTGTTCTTTGAATACATGTCAATGAGTGAACTTGCAACTATAACATCTACATCAAATAAATGATTAATAATGATGCCATGAATCTGCTTTCCGAGTTCATAGCTGCATCTCTTTCAGCCATTAGTGCCATTATCTGTTTCAGCCATAAGTGAACTTGCCACTATAATATCTAGATAACATGTCATATTACAAACACGCTTTGATAAGTTCTTGTAAAGTCATTATCTTTGAATTCATAATCCACTTTCTCTGTTACATCTTATAGGACAATGAGAATTTTGTGGGACAAACGAGTAAGCCCGAATGTCATATATTCCTTGCAACATCTCCGAAATGACAGGTCGACTTTAGTTGTTGGAGGAATAGATGGTGTGGTACGTCTTATAAACCAGAACGCAGGTGAAATTCTTTCCAGCATAGTTTTTGAAGGTAAAATGTTCTCTGGCTCTCAGGGCAATTATGGAGTCGTTGAGAGAGCCAAAGGGAGAAGGCTTGTGGAAGATGCCCACATCGACAGTATTCCTAGAAGCGATCGACCTCCCATTACTTGCTTGGCTGTTGGGATGAAGAAGATAGTCACCACACACAACAACAAGTACATTAGAATGTGGAAATTCAGAAACTGAGATACAATTCTTCATGTATGCTTAATATGGCGTTTACTTTTTTTTCCCTGTTTGTTTTGAACTTTAGATTTAGTTGATTTTACTATGTTGATGAATGATTTGCAGAAGTTCAAGAGCGTAGATTTGATAAGGACATTGATTCTATGTTGTCTCCTTGAAATTGTTAATCGTTTTGTAGTTCCTACTTAATTGGATGGACCAAATTTTAGAATGAGGAAAAGTTAAGAAAATCAAGAGGTAGAAGCACTTCCATTGGAAAGAGGCTGAAACCGGTGTCGTTTCTATTAAATTTTTTCGTTTTAAAATTTTGTTTTCGAGATTGTTCTCTGGTCATGAGCATAGTTGTTTTTTCAATTTCTGTCGTTTTAAATATGCTATCGTTTACAAGTTACTGTTTTCATCTGTAATTGTTGTAGTTCTTAAAAAAATTATGTAGTTTACCTATGCGCATGTCGATTATATTTTACTGTCGTTTGTTAGAGATGACGTTATTTTTTGATTGTTGTCTTTTGAATAAACATTTTCCTCCTGAAACTGTTGTCGTGGTTTGCCATTATTTTTCATTTTTAGAATCAGTGTCGTTTTCCTAGACTCATTTTAATGTCGTTTCGAGATATGCTCTACTAGTTTTTGAACATGGAATGTACATTTTTATTGTATATGTTAATTACTCACTAATGTTCATTTTAGGTATAACTATATTGTGAATGAAGAAATAAAAAAATAATTAATTATCATAAATGTATTGTTAGAAAACTTAAAATCATAGCATTATTTAATTTTTTTTAAGCTCAACAAGTATTTTTAAATACAAAAAATAATTATATATATTTAAGTTTCATACGAGTTGTCTATTTTTGTCATTTTACATACTCACAGCAATTCAGTCTCAAAATTTACCAAACACTATTACACTGATTTTAAAACCAACACAGCTAGCATAATTACATTTTACCAAACACTCAACTGCTTCTTGTAATAGTTGTTTCTCCTTTCAGCACAACTAAAAGTAATTTTTTTTTTAAATCCACAGCACTACCAAACTAAGCCATAAGGCCTTGGTCAAAAGAAGATAAGACATTTGTTATTTGAATTTAAATGAGATTCTAGAAAGAGATAAGGATAAAAAAGATTATATGGAGAATTCAAACTGATGATATCTAAATTTAAGAAGGCTGATGATATCTAAATTTAAGAAGGCTGTAAACGTAAATAATAAGGAGATATGGATTTAACTTAGTGTGAGATTGACTCGGTCAAAGGAAAAGAAGATTCAAAAGTACAATTCGGTTGGAGCTAATCTTTATCCCTTGGTGCAATTTGGTTGGAATTGATTTTGTCTTCTTGAATTTTGATTCAAAAGACATGTGTTTATAAGGAACGTAAATTAAGGGCCGCAGAGATCAAGTGTTATCTTACAACGAGGATAATTAATTCGGATTTGAAAGTTTGCTGCATAATTTGAATTGGAGATTGAGAAGATAACGTGAAGGTATTTTAGAGTCTATCTAGGAGAGAGAATTATGGAGATAATAGAGATCTTATCGAGAGTGGATTTGAATGAGATTCTCTTGACTTTATTTAAAGGCTTTGTTTTAGAGTATATGTGACACAGATTTAATAGAACATCTCAAGAAGAAAAGTTTGCGAATTTGAGAGCTTATTACAGAGAAATATTTAGAGAGACATTTGTGAGTTTTTGAGTTCATCCTTCAGGAGAGGGATTTGTTACTTTCGGGAGGAAGCTCTGCTGGTCGAAAGAAGTTTGCCAAGTGAATAGAAGACGTGTGGTGCATGCTAAACAATCACTGTGGAGATTCGTCACAGTGGCGTTATTATCTAGGAGGGAGTCCTTGAGTGAATAAGTCTGTCCGGTGTCTGTAATTTCTCGAACATAGTGAACTGTTTACTATCTGGGCGTGACCCCGCAGATATAAGTGTGCGCACTGAACTGTGATATCATATTGTGTGTTTTTTTTGACTTTCTGCACTTTATTCAGCTTGAGCAACTAAACGTAATTAACCCGGATCTTAATTAATTAAGCTGTGTTCTAGACAGTATTTCAACATCATCTGAAACGCTATATATAAAATCAGATGTAACAATATATATATTCATCAAAGCACACTGATGTCCCCAATAAAAGGATGTTCTTCTATAGTTAGTCGATTCAATTCAAATTACTTGAGAAGAAAAGCAAACATAAAGTGAATTGACCAATAAGAAGCAACGCTAAAAATGATTTCATTTGTTTCCCGGGAAAAAAAGAATACTAATATAAGGCCATCCAAATATAATCTAATTATCATTAAAAAAAAGAGTCTAAAATGAAGTACAACAATAAAGAAAATGGATAAAGCATCCAAAGAGGGAAGTTAATTATGTAAACTGAGCCCAAGAGGCAAGAACACTTCCGTGGTGAAGATGTTACTCATAGTCACCTAGCCATTACATCTGCAAAACCAAACTCACATAGATGAGATGTGCTATTTGAGCAGAACCCTTTTTTTTTTGGGTAACAATAAATAAATAAATAACAGTGGATCTTTGATTTCAATCCGTCCTTCATCTCCATCGTTTATACCAGAAATTATGGGACGCATTTAATGGCTGACCGTGTGTGTTTGTAGTTATTCGTTTTGATTCTAATTGTAAGATCTCAATCATAGGACGTCATCGTATTTGTATCACCTAAACTTATATATAATTTTGATCGATCAATGAAAATCAAGAGCCAATTTTTACAAACCTCTCTTGCTCTCAAACCTTTACGAAAATGACACGACCCTATTCTACTTTATGAATGGGTTTCTACTATGCCAAAGAGGCAGTTCTCAGTTTCTTCTTGCTGACAAATCAGAGTTGAAACTATTAGCATATTAATATTTTTGTTATAACAAACTCAGCGTGTATTGTAGTGTATTGTTATTTTTTCTGTTTCTGTTAGCTGAGTTGTCCTTTTTGGGGTGTGTGCCCTCTTCACAACGTAAAGGCAGCTTACGTTATATATTCGGTACTCTGCTCATTTGTAAATTAATGAAGAGAATTATCATTTCCTTATTCTCTTATTCTATTATGGTATAAGAGTGCTATTTTTCAGCTGCTCATTAACTCTTTTCTTCAAATGGCTCGCGGAGGCCAAAACAACCACACTAATCGATTTCAGGCTATAAGTCTGAATTCTTCTGAAGGCGTCGTAGCTCAAGAGTCGCACTCTTCGATGGAGAATGCTAGCAGTCCGTTCTTCCTCCACAACGGAGGTCATCCGGGAATGGTCCTCGTATCACATCTTCTCACTGGCCCCAATTATAATACCCAGAGTCATGCTATGCTGATGGCTCTCAACGCCAAGAACAAGCTCGGCTTTGTGGATGGGTCGGTCTTGCAACCCAGATCTGGTGATCTAAATGCTGGAGTATGGTCCTGATGTAACAATATGGTGACCTCGTGGCTCTTAAATTCTGTTTCCAAGGAGATTACAGACAGTCTATTGTACCTTGACACAGCTCAAGCCGTTTGGACAGATCTACAAGATCGGTTTCGCCAGAGTAATGCTCCACAGATCTTTCAAATTAAGCAATAGCTTCATGGTTTATCTCAGGGGTCACTTGATGTCAATACTTATTACACCAAACTTAAAATTTTGTGGGATGAGCTGAAAAATTACCAACCAATTCCGGTGTGTTCCTGTGGCGGTATGAAGTCATGGATCGACTATCAAGAGCAAGAATGCATAATGCAACTCTTAATGGGATTGAGCGAATCCTATTCTCTAATACGTGGGCAGATTCTTATGCTTGATCCACTGCCTCATGTTGCAAAGATCTTCAACCTTGTTGTGCAAGAAGAAAGGCAGAAGAGTATCGAAACTGGACACGGTGGACAACCATCAGAATCCATGGCCTTCAACATTACTTCGTCGTCCCCTTCTACTGCAATGGTTAATTCCCAGTACAAGCCCAAACATGAACGTCCTATCTGCTCATATTGTGGGCTTACAGGCCATACAGTGGACAAGTGCTATAGGATACACGGATACCCACCTGGGTTCAAGCCCAAATCAAGAGCCCAACCTCAGCTCAGCCTAGCTCCCTTCAATCCACAAAGCTGGTCACAACTCATTCCGATGCACCTCAGAGCCGACCTAGCTTCCTCCAATCCATAAATCTGGTCATAGCTCATTCAGATGCATCTCAGAGCTCTTCGCCCAGCACACTCTCGGTGGATCAAGTGCAGCAATTCATCGCCTACCTCAGCTCATAGCTCCAACATCAGATCGACGATGCACCTGAAATTCCAGCCACAAACAGTCCCTCCGTCTCCCATGTTTTAGGTGGTAATCCCTTATCTTTTTCTATTTCACATCTCACTGTGAATCGTGGTGCTTGGATTATGGATACAGGTGCAACGCACCATGTTTGTTGTGACCTTTCTCTATTTTATCACTCTAGCCCCATTCACGGTATCACAGTAATTCTTCTTAATGGTCACGCTGTTGAAATCACTCGAATAGGGTTTGTTAAGCTGTCATCCACTCTCATCCTACATGATGTCTTATTCGTTCCTAAATTTGCATTGAATCTACTCAGCATTAGTTCACTCACTCGAACTCATCACTGTTGTGCTAATTTTTTTCCCGATTCATGTGTAATTCAGGACCTCATTCAGGGCTTGACGATTGGGAAGGGTAGAAGACAACATAATCTTTACTTTCTAGAGCTAGGAAATAAGATATGTTATTCATTTTCTTCTTATTCTGCATTATCAAAGTCTGATGTTTGGCATTATCGCAATGGACACCCATCCTCTGTAAAACTTCAGATCTTACATAATGAATTACATATTCCTAACTCTTTATCTCATCTTTCTTCTCATTGTAAAATTTGTCATATGGCAAAGCAGAAACGTCTCCCTTTTATTTCCAATAATAATATGTCTGCATAACCATTTGATTTGGTTCATATTGAAATTTAGGGTCCGTTTCACATTAGCATAACAACTGGCCATAGATATTTTCTTACTATTGTTGATGATTGTACACGTGCAACTTGGGTGTACCTTTTACGTGCAAAATCAAATGTTCTCAATGTTTTCCCTGATTTTTTTAACATGGTTTCCACTCAATACAGCACTTGCATTAAGTCTGTTAGATCTGATAATGCTCCAGAACTTTCCTTCCATGATTTTTTTCGATCTAAAGGAATTCTTCCCTTTCACTCATGTGTTGAGACACCAGAG